AAGATAATGCAAAAAGGACCAAGGGAATAGTTAGATTTCCTCTTTAATCAGAAGCAGAAACCTGTCTGCATTCCGAAGTATACAAAACAGTATATAATCCAACAAGTAGAATATTTAATGAGTATTTCTTTAAAATATTGTCTTATTTCCACTTAGTCAATTTAACCCTAAAAGCAAGTTCTAAGGATAGATTCAGTTTTCTTGAAATAATGCAATCACTTAATTCTAGATTGATAGTATTGTCATTATAATAAGTGGGAATTGAGCATAACTATTTGCTTGAACAGTTATTCACTTCAATGGAAAATATAATTTCTTAGCTATTAAGTAACTGAGAAATGGAAACGTGATTTTTTTTAACAAAGGAAGAAAACATAAACCAGCTTTAAAAAACAAACTAAAGCAAACAAACAGGGAGATAGCTCAGAGGGTAAAACTCACTTGCTGTGCAAGCCTGATGACCTGAGTTCAATCCCCAGAATTGGAAGGAGACAACACCTGACTCTCAAGTTGGCCTCTGACCTTCACATGATCACTGTGGTATGTGTCCACAGTCCTATGCACGCACATGTGCATGCATGTGCACACACGTGCGCGCGCGCACACACATACACACACACACACACACACACACACACACAGCAGAATGATTTTCAAATAAAAATTGCAAATGACCTTTCCCATTGGCCAGAAATTCTGCGGATAAGCGAAAATAAGCTCTACTTTCAAATATTCAAATAGGAAGCCACACGCTTATTTCAATTGCTGTTTTCTCCCTTCCTTCCTTCCTTCCTTTTTTTTTTTTTTTTTTTTTGGTAAGAGTAGCCTGAATTGATGAGGCTTCTAAGTAGCCAGAAGAAGTCTGAAGCATCAAATCACATTAAAACATATAACCTGGAAATACAATGTTTTTAAAGACATCCTTACTTCAGTGACCCATAATCGTTACAACTGCAAAATGTAAATTTTTATTATTTGTGTGTATATGAGAGAGACTGCATGCATGCGCACGTGCACACAGGTGCACGAGCTATGAATGTGTGTATAAAGACCAGAGCCTGATGTTGGATATCTTTATTAATCTCTATGCACTTTACTTCCTCTTAGGGGAGGCAAGGGTTTATTTCCATCAACAGGTTATAGTCCGTCATTGAGAGGAGAAGGAACTCAGTTCCCCACTGTTGAAGGAGAAACTATGGAGCAATCTGCTTCTGCTTACTGGCTCACAGATTCATTTTGAACTAGTTTTCTTACAAACTAGGACCACCTGCCTCGGGAATGTGGGCCTTTCTTTTTGAGATAGGTTCTCTCACTGAATCTGGAGCCTCAGTTCAGCTATGGTAGCTGACCAAAGAGCTGCAAGGATCTGTCTATCTCTCCCAACCACTGCCTTGAGTTTTGTGATTACAAGTGAGTATATATGTGCCTGGATTTCACATGGGTGCTGAGTAACTGAACTCAAGCACCCATGCTTTCAAAGCAGCCTCTTCATACTAAAAAGGCATGTTTGTTCTGCCCAGATTTCTCTTAGGAGGTACATTTATTCAGTGATTATTTTCTGACAGATAGCACTTTCTCTTTTGCTGCACTTTCACTTTGATTGAAATATCTGAAGTACTTGTTTATATATTATGAATATATATTAGTTTTTTGAGAATTTCATACAATTAAATCACTATATTCACCCTCCCTCACATAACTCTACTCAGATACACCCCTTTACTTTCCTTCTCAACCTTATGTCCCTTCACCTCCATCAAGGCTAATTTTTACTGCCCAAATATTCTTGGATGTGTGGCCTTCCACTGGAACACAGTCAACGTATCAAAGTTATGCACAGTATTTTTTTTGCGGGGGGGGGGGGGGTTCGAGACAGGGTTTCTCTGTGGCTTTTCGGAGGTTGTCCTGGAACTAGCTCTTGTAGACCAGGTTGGTCTCGAACTCACAGAGATCTGCCTGCCTCTGGCTGGGACTAAAGGCGTGTGACACCATTGCCTGGCTAATGCACAGTATTATAAATAGCAGAGACTTCCTTAAAAATCCCCCAAAACCTCCACTTGAGTTATATGATACCATTGGTGATTATCTTTATACATTAAGGACTTTTGAAATCCTAGTTTTACCTTTATTCTATCCCATTTTAAGTAGATATAAACTGAAAAAATCCCTGCAAATGTTGGCTCTTCTGTTTTTAATAATTTATAACAAAATAAAACATTATATAAGGTTACACTTGACTTAAGAAAAAAATGATCTAAGTCAGTAGCTGCAATGCCAGAAATGGGAAAAGTGGGAAAATCACACAATACAAAGTTAGCAAATCTATTTCTATGAATGTCTTCTTAAAGCAGCATTTAACTTCAGCCTCTAGTTAAAATGGCATCAGGTTACTTGATAGAATATTTATTCTTAGAGAAGACATTGATTTCACACACAGAATCTATTCTACAGGCTACTGTTCTCTCAGTGGAGAGAGATTGTTTCTAATCAGGTTTCACTGGTGTCTGAGGCTCTGAGAAACAGATCCTTCCTTGAAAATAAGCTCTACTTTCATATATTTAAATAGGAAGCCAAGGGCATTTGTCAATTGCTGTTTTCTTTCTTTTATAAGAATAATCAGCATTGGTGAGGCTTCTAAGGAGCCAGAAAAAGCCCAAAACATTAAATCACATTAAAACATATAATGTCAAAATATAATTTTTTAAAGACAGCCTTATTTCAGTGACCTATAATAGTTACACAGTTTATAGAAGTACTTCAGTCAACATTTTAGTATTTTATATTTCAAAAAAAGTCAGAGAGTAAAACATTTCAAAATTAAGATTTAAAACATCTTGTATTTTATGCAAGAAAACACGGATATTACCTATACTAAAATGAACATAAAGCTTAATAGGAAAATTCAGTAACTTTGCCAGAAAATTGCTAAGAGATTTTAGGTGTTCTTCCCACAGAAAAGGGCACCCATCCTGTTGATAGACGTGCTAATTTGTTTGACTGTAATAATCATTTTAGTGTGTGTGTGCTAAACATCATACTGTACAGTTTAAGTAAATATAATTATTTAAAAAATTAAATAGTGGCATATTTAACCGACTAATACATAAATTTGAGGAAAGTAGAAGATTTTATAGCCGAATTAAGAGAGTTCAAAGTGTCAGGCATTGGTGGCGCACGCCTTTAATCCCAGCACTAGGGAGGCAGAGACAGGTGGATCTCTGTGAGTTCGAGACCATCCTGGTCTATAAGAGCTAGTTCCAGGACAGCCTCCAAAGCCACAGAGAAACCCTGTCTCAAAAGACCAAAAAAAAAAAAGTTCAAAGCTCATTTCAAATAAAGGAGAGCACCTACTACAAGTTGGAAATCTCTGAGTGACTTATGGCCAATGAGAAGGGGCATTTGCAATTTTATTTGAAAACCGTTTTGCTGGTAAATGACAGAGGAAAACATGAGAAGGTGCTTGGCAATTTTAGTGATTAAAACTTTTATTCACTGATACTATCAGAGAGAGAGAGAGAGAGAAGATAAAATCACCAAATTTTCTTCTATTTTGAAATAGTTGAAAACTGAAAAGAGGATTTAATTTCAGGATCATAGATGAATAAGGGAACCATCGAACAAACAGAAATACATATGTGAAGTGCCTGTGGTCAGAGGTGCTTCTTGAGCTTTGAACTGACTGAGATTTAGCACAATTTGTGTTTATTTAACACGCCTTGTACTTCACTAACATTTCTGTTGAAGTTGTATAACTGCTGCCATCAAAACTACAGATAAAGTCTTCAAAACAGAAAAGAAAAAAAAAAGCCCTGCTGCACCTCTAATGGATGACCCCGGGCAAGTCATTTAAGCTGTCTGTGCTTGTGTTTACTAATCTGCATTACCAGAGTGTTGAACTAGAAAATCTCTAGGCTCTTCCAAGCTTAACATAAGAAAGTCTAAAATGCCATTTATTTAAATACTAGAAGAATTTTTTTACTACCATTTTCTTTCCTTTTTTTTTTTTACCACTAGAAGTACACCTTCAAAAGCCATCATATAGGGGCCGCTCAGAATTCAGGTTTTTATTAGTCTTGAACCTGGAAAAAGGAGCTTTAGGTTCTCTTGAGTATAGTGTTTCAAGATTCAGTCTTGGGAAAGGGCTACCAGTAACCTAACTAAATTCAAAAGGTGAGTGCTTTAATGTACTGGATTCATTTTAGGCTTAATGTTTATTTTACCACAAAACACCAACCAATATATTCAAGACATAATTTTGGCAGAGTAGGATTTACATTATTATGTGCTAATATTTCAAACAAATTTTCTAATGTTTTTCACTTTAACATATAGCACAAATGATTAATGGTAGCCAAGTATCATCAAAGTTAGTGATATTTTAATATGGAAAAGACAATATTTATTACCAATCAGTACCTTTGTGGATTCCCTTGCATGTAAAACAGTGCATCGAGAATATTTTTTAGTTTTATTATTTAAATTAAATAAAATGAAATAATTAAAACAATCTTATTTTACATACCAATCCTAGCTCCCTCTCCCTCCTGTCCTCCCACTCCCCCCACCATCTCCCCATCCCACCTCCCCGTCCACTCCTCAGAGAGGGTGAGGATTCCCATGGGAGATCATCAAAGTCTGTGACATCATTTGGGGAAGGACCAAGGCTGTATCTAGGCTGAGAGAGTATCCCTCCATAGGGAATGATCTCGAAAAAGTCAGTTCATGCACTAGGGATTGATAAATATTATATCACTACTGCTACCACTGCCAGCGGCCCATAGACTGCCCAAGCCCCTAACTGACACTCACGTTCAGGGGGACTGGTTCGGTCTTATGAAGGTCTTCCACTTGCTCAGGTCAGTTGTTTCTGTGGGTTTCCCCAACATGGTCTTGACCCCTTTGCTCATCACTCCTCCCTCTCTACAACTGGACTCCAGGAATTCAACTCAGTGCTTAGCTGTGAGTCTCTGCTTCTGCTTCCATCAGCTACTGGATGAAGGCTCCATGATGGCATTTAAGGTAGTAATCTCTAGAAGAAACCATCCTGAGTAAGGCAACACAGACACAGAAAGAAAAACATGGTATGTACTCACTCATAAGTGGATATTAGGTATAGAGCAAAAGATAACCAGCCTTTGGGATAATCCTCAATCCCAGAGAAGCTAGGAAACAAGGAAGACCCTAAGAGTGACATATATGGTCCCCCGGAGAAAGGGAAAGGGACAAGATCCCCTAAGCAAATTGGGAGCATGGGAGGAAGGAAGGAGGAGAGAACATTTTTATCATATATATATTTAAATTAATATGCAGAACATTTGTAAACCTTTTTTGTTCCTTTTAACTCCCCATCATCCCTTTTCTCATAAACACATAATGTTAATATTTTATTTTATATTCTCTGTGGCAAACATTTTTAATGTTGATATATTTAATGTGTAAATTTTACATTTTCCTATGCCATTTCCCACTGGTTACTGAATGGACATGCTACAGTTACTCTAAATTGTGACAGTCATAGTAGGCATACTTAAATAGCCAAGGGAAATTACCCTGTGGATAATTGCCAGGCAATCAGTATTCATAGCTTTTAATAAAAAAGAGAAACAAGCTAGTGTAATTTTAAAAATAAGTGATCCATTAAAAAGTCTCACATTGACCATTACATAAAGATAAAATTCTGACTCTGTAATAATTTATCAGTTGTAGAAAATAATTTGTAAATACTGTAAATTTTGCATCAGATCCTTGGCAGCTGATATGCTGAAAAATATTTAGGCAAGAAAAACAATGAGGGCTGGAGGGGTAGCAAAGTGGTAGAGTACTTGCTGTAAGTGAATGAGGCCTATCTCCAACATCACCAGTTTGAGTCAATTTCTAGTCAAAGTTGTGCATGGCCAGGTATGGTTATTGTATGCCTTTAATACAAACACTGGGGAGGCAGAGGCTGGTGAATCTCTGTGAGTTCCAAACCAGCTTCATGGTAAGTAAAGTTCCAGGTCAGCCAGTCTATGTAGTGAGACCCTAGTTCATTAAAAAAAAAAAAGCAGATTTGCTTATGCAACATGGTGGTTCAATCTAAATTACATAGTATGGGCAAGAGGGAAGGCTTTGTTGGGCTGAAATGATTAGCAAATACTTTGGTAAAGAGATCATGCTGGGTGACACTGCATTGTTTGGGATATTTTGGAGGTGACATGGTGCTTCAGATGCAGGTAAAATGTCACAAAGGTCAAGAGCTAAAGTAAGTTGGCTAGTACAAAGGACACCCACCTTGTTTACTGCTAGAAAGAATGATGAGGGTGGGATGAAGAGCTGGACAAATGTTCCACACTTAGGCAACCTGAAAGAGTAAGTCACAGTTTGAACAGGTTGGCTCCAAGGAGGAAGGACTGAGCAAAGCAGAAAACGGCTGACAAACCTGAGAGGCGCCAGAGCTCACTTAGTGATAGTACATTTCACCTTGTCTCCAATTCAAGACTCACCTCCCTGAGCTCATCTTGAGCATTTGTTTCAATTTACTGGGACTGGGCAGTCTGTTCCCTCAACAAGTACAAACTTTGTCTGCCTCTGTGTTTGCTACAGTGTAACAATCTCCACAAGGGTTCCCAGCCAGATACCACTTTTTCAAAAAAAGCCTTCTTCAAATATCTCAGTTTTAAAAGAGCCTCCCTACTCCCGCCTCGCCCCCACTGTATTATTAAATATAAACTTCACCATTCATGTAATACAAGCAACTTTGATTTGCAGATATGCATGCATCTGTTTTTCTCAATCCTACAGAGCTATAAAAATCCTTAGGGGCAGAAATTGTGCACTGTAACTTTGCATGCCACAGGGGTTTGCATTTTTATAAACTAGCCTACAAAAACAAAAATCCTACCCACAAAATAATGGTAAATAAGAATTTGTTGAATGAATGCATTCCAGTACTAACACGTTTTCATTCTCTTCATTTTTTCCCTTATCCTTATGAGACAATTCTTATACTGAAACCAATTTTCTCTCAGAAAATTAAATTACTGAAACATACCTTGGTTCTTCCAACAATGTTTTCACCATAAAGGTAACTAAAAAACACATCTAGAGCCTGGTCAGATGACACGTAACTGCAGGCAAAGGAAGCAAATTTAAATGTGCCTTTCTGATTTGTCTACTTGAATAAGAATGCAATATGAAGTTAGGGGCATAGGTTCAGCAGGTCTTAGTTTAAGTGGTTTGTTTTAACTCCACATGCAAAATGCTAGGGAAGAAGTAGCAAAACAAAATGAAGGGCTCTGCCAGGGTGCAGTTTAGATTGAACAGATAACTTGGCATTGTGTAGATCATAGACCTTTCATGTTTGTTTGTTTTGGGGGGTATTTTCTTTTGTCTGTAGCAGAATGTGTGTGTAGCCTAGAATCGTTTGAATCTCAGTATCTCACTGCCACATTGCCACTACCAATCCTGGCTAGAATTCTTTTAAATACACACACACACACACACACACACACACACACACACACACACACACATATATATATATATATATAATACATGTATATAATGTGCATTTGTGTTTTCCCTGCATGTATGTCTGTGTGAGGGTGTCAGATCTTGGAGTTACAGACAGTTGTTAGCTGCCATTTGGGTGCTGGGGATTGAACCTGGGCTTTGGAAAAACAGCCAGTGCTCATAACTGCTGGACCATTTCTCCAGCCCCAGTCTGTTTTTTCTTTAAGCTACGAGAACATAAATAGAATTGGACATCTCACTAGGTAATAAACAGACAGGGTTTTACTAGGTAGCTCTGGCTGGCTTGATATGTAGATGAGGCTGGCCTTGATCTCATACAGATCACCCTGCCTCTGCCTCCCAAATGGCGGGATTAAAGATATGCACCACCAGGCCAGGGGCTAAATTCTTAAGTAACTGTTTAAAAGGTTAATTTTCTTTTTTTTTATTAGCCTTTCAGTTTGAAAGGCTGTTGTTGAAGCACATTTAAATACAAATAGCTCTTTCAACAAGGGAGGCAAACCACTTCTCAAAAGAGGCTGCAGGGACCTGCATGCTTACTTCCAGTAACAATTAGCAGCCCTCAGCACTCTGTTTTAACCAGAAATATTTCTGGGCATTTTATTCTTTCCTTTCTCCAACCGTTTAGGTTTCAGAAACGACTCTGTCACCAGAAGACAAATGGGAGATTCTCAAAACAGAAAGCTGCTACTTAAACGCTGCCTGTGACCAGAAAAGGTTTCGGGGGCACTTCTATAGGCAAAATAAAATTAAATTAAATAAAAATAGGAGGCGCCTATTTTAGCAATGAAGATAAGGAATGGTTTTGTTTTGTTTTACATATAATTTTAAATATCACCTTTGAACTACGAAGCCATTAAAGCTAATGACTTTCCTCTGGATAGAAATCTGCTATTACTGAGTTCCCCCGTGGCCCCATTCAATTCTTGGTGGACCCCCTCCAGTCGGGGTAATGGCTCTTTTAGAAGGTAGGCGGCCTGCAGGAGCGTCCTGCTCGTCCAGGTCCCAGATTTATTGCTACTCTCCACCTGCGGGAGGCGCGCAGTTCTGGCACCCTTCTACAGCCAGGACCACAGTTCAGCTTTGGCGGGAAGTTCTCACGACCAGAAGCGTTCCCATTCTTTTTCCGATCTCTAAATGGGTGCTCCTGTCACTTCAACCTCACCCTCCTGCCAACTGGGAAAGACCCGAGCTCTAGCTCAATCCAGTCTCAAAAGGGCCCGCCACCCCGCGAGAAGGAAGGAAGGGGGTGGAGATCGTGGAAAAATACAACTGTTTGAGCTTTCGCTTGTCATTATAACATAAAAGGGTGAAAAGGCAAGAAAACTGGATTTCCTGCTGGTCACGTTGGAGCTCTAGGCGTCTGCTAAGTGCATGGACTCCGGCACCCCAGAGGCAGTCAGAGCCGGCAGTGTACGAGGGCTTCGGGCAAGTTCGCGGGCCACGCCTTCCGAACCGGCCACCTCTCCTCATTGGCCTGACAGCCTGTCACTCCAACCTGGCTCCCACTTCGGCTAACCATTCACGTAGTTTGGTTGCGTCTTGGCGTGTTTAATGTTGCCAATAACGAGAGATTTTTTTTAGGGGGAGGGGGGACTCGAGAACATATCGTGCTGCAATTAGTTCATTGAAAACTCAGTCGCTCGCGGAGCGGTCAGACGGAGACTGCTCTCGGCATTTTTCCCTCCTGCCTAAGGATCTCCTGCGGAGAGCTGCAACAATGCCCAAAAGAAAGGTAAGTGAAATGAGAAGATAGACGGGAGATTAGCTGCTGAAATACATATTTCCTACGGCAGAGATTTCTATCTTTTTGAAAGAGCATTTTGGCTTCTAGTTTGATTTTTGTGATGTTCCGAATGGAAGGCGAGGGAAAGGTAGCGAGCTGTCTGTGTTTGGTTTCGGAAGGTCTCGTATGCAACTGGTAGTTCACTTTTGGCTTGTTTTGTTTAAGGGAGAGAATCGTTTGAGAGGTGTCTCCATGCTGAATTACAAACAGCCATAGCGCTGTGCTGTCGCTTCCTACCCCACCCCCCTTCCTCCGCTTACCCTATTGGAGAACTCTTCTCCCAACCACACTTCCAGCGCCAGCTTCCTCCTCTACCTCCAGTTTTTCTCCGGGAACCGTCCCGTTTGGAGGAACGAAAGCCCTGGCTTTCTCTTGTTTTTGCCTTTGTTCTTTCCGTTTTCTTTTTTCTTTTTTTCCCCCTCTTCCCTCCTCCACTTCTTGTCATGCCAGATGGCTATGCAATGGTAATCCTGTGCCATTAGGCGGCGCAGACTTCAAACTGTCCTAGAGAAGGAAGAGATTCACCGCTGTAATTAGAAACTTTAGATCTGAGAGATTTGGCACTCTCGGAACTCTCTAGTTAAAGGTGGAAAGGTGATTAGTGAGCCGCGTCTGAGAAACTACAACCAGCGTTGGATGGTGGGGCGGCGTGAGATTTGTTCACTTTAGACATTGGGAGTTGGTCTGAGCTACCAAGGGCTTCAGGTCTTCTGTAAACCTTCATTTCAAAATTCCTGTCTCCGAATAGATAGGAAATAAGTTGACGCTCAGTATTTGTTTCTTTTTTTTCTGCCGAGTCTCTTACATCTAAAATGGAGTGCTGTTTCATTGCTTTGGTGAAATCGTAAAACACTGCGTTAATGTAAAAGAGCCTTATAATTGCTTTTATATTCTTGTGAATCCGTCCGCCTTCCGTATTCCTAGAACCCAGAAACGAGGCTGAATTCCTCAGTGCTCTGGGCTGTATGAAACGATGAAATAATAGCCTGGTAATTCCCAGGGTAAAGGGCTACTCAGATACCGAAAGCGATTGTTTCTAATCACCACCCCCTTTCCCCAGGCTCCCGCCGGGCTCTTTTAGGCTTGTGCAATGGATCTTGCTTTTTTACAGAGCTGACAGCAACCTTGGAGCAGGTAGTGGCGGGAAGTTTTAAAATCCTCTGCCTGCTTCTCCGAATAAAACGTTGACGTTAGAACAAAGACGTTCTTCCCTGAAAGTATGGTGGGGCTGTTGTTTTGTATGCAGAACTTGGGAAGGAAAATAGTCCGTAATTCGTAGAGCAGGTCAGATAGATACCATTGCATAGCAAACATAAGGCAAGAGAGGGAAATTGCAAGAAGCTCCGCCTTCGTTCGTCCCGCCCCAACCCTTGTTTTGGCTTTAACATTAGAGCAGGTGGATTTCAAAATGAAAATGGTTTGTTTTTAAGAGACGTTATTTACACAAAAAAAGGTTACACTGGCTCTTTGTAAATGGGTCTTAAGCATGGACTTGCATCTTGGTGCACGTTTCCTATTACTAAAACAGCAGATGTAGAATAGCTGCTAGGAAACAACACGTGGCTGCTGGAGCGGGAACCCAGGAAAAAAGTCACAAGTGGCTAAAGTTATAATTACAATCCAGCAGCGATATTTTCTGGGCTGTGTATTTATACTGACTATCCTATTTCTCTTTTTTTATTTTTATTTTTCTCCCTCTACATAGGCTGCAGGTGATGCCAGTCAGGAGGTGAGTGTCTTTAGTTTGTGAGTTTCTCTGAAAAAAATGCACCCATTTTAGAAACTAAAGACATATAACTAGGTAAAAATAAATGCTGGTGGTTATATTTGTACCAAATGAGTACTAACTAATATTGGGTATGCCAGTGCTCTCTCAAAAGTACATTAATAAAAATGACAGGCTTTTTGGAATTGAGGATTCTACTGTGCTTGTTATGATATCAGATCCAGAGAGCACCTTCTTAGGCTTAAATTCTGTTTTGCCAGTTGGTAAGCAAAAAAGCATATTTTCATTTGAAGATGTGCTCCTCGATAATAGCAATTTTACTGATTTAGCTCAGTGAAAGAAGCTTGTCATAGGATTTTATTCCCTCTACCATATGAAAAGGGGGTCAGATGTGTGTACTATGGTATTTCCTAGCCAAATTTATAATCACTTCCTTAGTAGCAATATTTACAGTGTTACACCAAATATTGTCCCAATAAAAATAACTCTAGATTTGTATATCTATAATTCGTGTGACTGTTTTTTTTCCCCACATCCAGCCAAAGAGAAGATCTGCCCGACTGTCTGCTGTAAGTGGCCTTTGTAAAATGCTGCCCATGTTAGTTAGCATGGAATGGAGGTTTTAGAATCATGGAATCCTAGACAATATTATGTTTAATACAAGGCTTATTTGGAAGGGTTCTGAAAGAAAGGTTTTTTTGTTTGTTTGTTTTTGGTTCCTAGTGCTTATTTTAAATCGTACTCATAGTTTTCATTGCTAGTGCTCTTTCTTCAAATATGATATCTTCCTCTTTTCTTATATAATGATGTTTCCTGATGCAGATGCCTGTGCCCTTTACACCAGAGGTGAAGCCTAAAAGAACGCCAACTCCAAGGGTAAATGTTCAAATTCTAAGGTTGAAGAAAATGTGTTTTTAGAAATAAATTGCAGAAATGCACACAACTGATCCTTTTGTTTTCTTCATAGTTTGCTTAACCAGAAACATAATGTACCATACAGTACTTATAATTCTACTGGGTGGTGAATATTTGTATATGTTTTGGGACTGGTTAGCTGTGTCTTAGCATTTATTTGGTAGTTACAATACAATATTGTGAATGTAAAATAAAAAAAATGTTGGTGGATGACATGGTAAATGCATATGTCTTTGAGACTTAGTCAATAAAATACCAATATTCCGAGGAAAACAAAGGCCATGAACTGCAGTAGCCCAATAGTGTGTTATAATCATAACAGCAACTAACATTTGAAACATTTAAGGATATGCTTTCATATATGTTGCTTTAAATGGAGTCAAATGATTTTATATAGATGTCTGTGCTTGGATGTTAAAAATAATGGCAGGCTGAAAGAGAAATAAAATCAATATTAAGTTAATTCCTAATTGCTTTGTTACAATTTTTTCTAACAACTGGCTGAATTACACAAATGAGAAAAGCCTACAGCTATAAAGAATATTTGCAGAAAGCCATCCAGTAAACCCTGTTCTTATGTAGCTTCTGTTTCAGCATCTGTCTCCAGGTTCCTGCCCCGAGTTCCCTAGATGATAGACTATAGATAAATCCTCCCCCCACCACCAAAAAAAAAAACCACCATAAGAATATTTGACTACTTACCTGGCAGGAGAGATACCATGATCACTAAGGAGGTGTTTCCAGGGCTAGACTCATTCATTGCACTCCAGATGTGCTGACCCCTGCCGTTTCTCCACTTAAGGGAAACTTGACTGCATAATTTGTGGTAGTGGGGGGACTGCGTTTGTGCTCTCCCCTGGAAAATAAAAGGATTTTTGAGATGATGACACAACAAACTATGATCATTTTTTAAAGACGCTTTTGATATTTTTCATTTAAAAATTCTTAAAGGCTAATTATCTTGATCAATCAATTTACATATTGATGCAGTGCTAGCTGTTGAACGGTTCTTCTGCAAGTTGCACTGAGAGAGTGAAAATGGGAAAAAAGAATAGGAATAAATCATGATGGGTATTATATAATCATACACTTTAAAATAGTTTATATTCCTCAGATCTTGGTTTCTCACTCATTAACAGAATAATAGCTTTTATGTGTGGTGCAATATATAATTTCTAAATCAATTACATTGATATTTTTTCAAGTGACTCTTATAATGTGTCCCTGTGTGGTGAGTGGTATTATCTTTTATATATGAAAACACAATCTGAAAGAGATTTATACCTTTCCTCAAGAAAACAGTAGATAAGTGGAAGATCTAGGATTCAAATAGATTTCTCTGGTATCCTAAATAAATGATCCTTCTACTGTAAACACGTAAGCAAAGAAGTTTCTTATAGCAAAACAGAAAAATTCAAGGAACTGTATAGCTTACACATAAAGATTAAAACAGCTGCATCCCATGATGGTCTCTACTAAATGTGTCTAAATTGATGTTCTCACTAACATGACATTTCTCTTAATTACTACCAATGGAGACTTTATAATTAACACAACCCTATTGCTAATGATTAGACTAGGCAGCAATAAACTGACTTTTGGTAAGAGGCATTCAATTCATCAGGCTAATCGGATGCTGGGAATTGGACCTTGGTGGGTGCTAGTGAACACTAACTTGTTATTTCTCATTGCACTCAGCATAAAAGAAGATTTCTTTAATTTATATCAAGGTAACAGAATTCACTTTTAATGATGCTTTAGGGGTAACATTGAAAGAGTTATGTGTTAATTTTATTGTTATCAGATTTATGTGTAGTATGCTAAAGCTCTCCTTAAATTATTTTATCAGTTGTTAATGTAACTTTAGTGGTTTAATTAACATAGCAGCTTAATTGTGTATTTTTATTATTTGTGTTTCTGAACAGAAACTGAAGACCACAAATGTTGCAGTGGAAGAAAACAAAGATGTTGGTGCCGTAACAATTCCTGAAACCAAGCCAGAGGATGTTAAAGAAGAGTGCAATGTGGAAAATGCTGAAAATGGAGAAGCCAAAATTATTGAGGTATCTTGAAACGTTAGCAGATATATCATCTTGAAAACTTAACATTGCAAGTGAAAGCAATCTTAGTTGCCTATTAGTTTAAAAAATAGTAAATGAATAGTGGTTCTGTGGTAAACTGGCATCTAAATAGAAAATATGAGCATTGCAGGTGGTAGCAGAAGCAGTTGGTTAGCAATGCTATTGCTTTAACAATGGCAGTAAACATGCCTTACTAAACTCTCTTATTAAACACAGGCCAAACTTCAATTCCTTTTGTCAACACATGGACTATTTGTAACTCTTTTCCCAGAAAAAGCCTTTTTATTTCCTCTGTAGGTGGTATAACAAATTATTATAGAATTGTTTTCCCAAACAAGGTCTTGTGTAGCCCAGGATGGCCTCAAAATCATTTATATAGTCAAGAATTACCTGGAACTTCTGATCCTCCTTGCCTCCACCTCCTGAGTGCTATGATTACAAACCTGCACCACACACACACACACACACACACACACACACACACACACACTAATTTATGCCAGGCTGGGGCTCCAACTTAGACTTTCATGTATACAAACACTCTATCAGGTGTGATACATGGCCTTCTGTGTATTGTGTTTTTAATAGGTTTCGTTTTATGTATTTAATGTATCCTACACTTTTAGGTAGTCTAGTAAAATACCTAAAGTGAGATGTCAAATAAAACATACATATATGTAAAATATAAGTAATCATACAAGATTTTCTAGTAATTTTTGTTTTTTTTTAAGCACAAATGTGCTCCCTGTGAGGCTGAAGCAAGCCTGGTCGACAGGAGTAGGCTGCAGGACAGCCAGAGGCACATAATGAAATACTGTCTTAAACACACACACACACACACACACACACACACACACACACGCACAAATGTAAATTGTGCTTAGTGGTGCATGCCTGTTACTCCTTATGGTTTTATTGCTGTGAAGAGACACCATGACCACAGCTACTTGTATTTAATTGGGGTTGGCTTACAGTTTCAGAGGTTTAGTTCGTTATCATAATGGTGGGAGCATGGCAGCACTCAGTCTGACATGGTACTGGAGTAGTAGTTGAGTGTTTTACATCTAGGCAGTAGTAGTAGTGGTAGTAGCCGAGAGTTCTATGCAGGCAGCAGGAAGAGAGTGATACTGGGCCTGGCTTAGGCTTCTAAAACCTCAAAGCCCACCCCTTTGCTGGCTACCTACCACAAGGCCACACCAACTCCAACAAGACCAACACCTCCTAATCCTTCTCAAGTAGTCCAAATCACTGATGACTAAGCATTCAAATATATGAGCCGACGGTGGCCATTCTTATTGAAACCACCACATGCAGTAGGTAGGTGGAAGCTGGAGAATCACTGTGAGTTCAAGGCCACCTTGGGCTAGGTAGTAAGACCTTATCTCAAAAGAAAAAACAGCATTATTTTCCATAGGACTTCTTTATCTCCACATTTTTTATTTACTGAAAGTTTATGACACAGAATAAATAAACATCCTTTGTTTATTTAGTTTGTTTCATCATATTTGTAGTGAAAATTGTTTATATAGACAAACTTTACTGAATTTGTGGTTTCAGACATCTATTTGTGGTGCTCTGTATCAAGATATAGTTGTTTATTGTTTAGAATATTTTTCATATATCATGGTTTTTCCATGGGAAAACTACTTTCTGGCAAAAGAAATTTAATCAGGCTTTTCATGAATCAGATATAATCTGATCTAAGCATGTGAGAGAAAACAGCTCTAAATTTACAATCTTGTTTTTCCCCATCCTATCTAGGCACCCATCCCCAAAATGGAAACTGAGGAAATAAAGATGAATGAAGACGCTGAAGAAGATGGAGGAGAAAAGAAAGAAGCAGTGGCAGCAGAAGGAAAAGATGATGAGCTAGAAGAAAATGTCCAAAATATAGAGAAAGATGAAGATGGAAAAGAGGATGAAGATAAAGGTGAGGAGGTAAAAGATGGAAATAGGGAAGAAATCCTCGAAGAGAAGGCAGATTCAGCAGAAAGTGAGGATGTGAAAGAGGAAAAAGATGATGAAGAAAAAGGAGACGATGAAAAAGAAGATGGCAAAGAGGAAGGGGATGGGAAGAAGGAAGAAGAGAAAGATGACAAGGAAGAGAAAGCTGAAGTGGAAGAAGAAGTAGAAGAACAGAAAGAGGAAAAAGAAGAGGAAGATGGAAAACGCAAAGAAGAGGAAAATAAGGAAGATGGAAAGGAAGGCCAGAGTGAGGAAGATGGGAAGGAGAAAGATGATGGGAAAGAAGAAGATAGAAAGGAGGAAGAAGGAAAAGGAAAAGAGGTTGCAGGGGGAGGAAATGATGAGAACAAGGTGGAGGCTGAAAAAGAAGCTGAAAACAAAGATTTCAAACAAGATGGAGAAAAGGAGGAGTCTCTGAGTGGTGTCTAAAACTGCCCTATGTGATGTCATAATTTGGTAACAAGTACCTTCCTGTTGTAATGTTAATAGAGATAAATATTTTTATCAGATATTTTATAAACAGTGCTTTTCTTTAGCATCATTCAATCTTGGAACATCATCATACAGGTTATTAGTTGCAAAACACCTAACATGACACCTTTATACATGTTGTGATTATAGTAGTGCAAAATATAAAATGTATACTTGCAACTTTGTGAATTTCACTGTGTGTAAGTTATATATTAAATTTTTGAGTTTCAATTTTATTCTTATACGTGATAATTTTCAAAGTAGGAGAATTCCAAAAGAAAGAGTTTGGTACAACTTTGATGTAGTTCTCAAGGTTGCTTTTATAAAGAAGGTCAACTATTTTCAGGTAATGTTAAGAGTTAGAATTGCCATTACCAAATATAACTGTATCAGTAGCTTGGAAAGAATATAAAAATCTTAATTTCGGTTTTGAAGAAATTTAAATGTTTATTTCAGGAGGGCAGTTTTGATCATATGTGTATGCACAAAGTTTTGCTGGATTTATCATAATAAAACAGTTCCACAAAGGTAATTATGGTTTGTGATATTTCAAAAACTATAGTTTAGTGGGCTATTTAAATTCTTGATTTTTCTCCCATTTGGTATCCAGGAAAATATTTGATGGGTTTTTATTGAAATAGAATTAATAACACATAAGACTCAATATTTTAATCATTTGAAACTTTGCAGGGAATTGGTTTATGTATATTGATTCATTTTTATATCTTAAGGATAATTCAACTCAGTCAAAGCACATTTGATTTTTTCATTAGTATTTATTTCTTCTAAATTGTATCAGTTACAAATCTGCCAGGCACACTTATTACTGTTTGTGTTAACAGTATGGTCAGTAATGTCCTTTGATATGTAGAAGGTATTTTTTATTTTGATGATCAGTCCATTTGACTCTCTTGTAGCTTATGTGCCAAAGCACATTACAAAAGTGCTATGCTCTTTTGTTGAAGATTTAAAAGTTGGATCGGGTGGTGGTAGTGCACACCTTTAATCCCAGCACTTGGGAGGTAGATGCAGGAGGATTTCTGTGAGTTCTAGGCCAACATGGTCTACAGTTTGTTCCAGGACAGCTAAGGCTATACAGAGAAGACCTGTCTCAGAAAAACAACAACAACAAAAGATTTGAGTTGGAGGTAGAGGGGGCAGTATCAAGAGTTCATTGTACATAATTGTTAGACAATGATGGTAAACATACTGCCAGAACACCCCACATAGAAGCTGTTGTCTAATCCCTTCTGTTTTCAAAACACTCCCAGTTTTCTCTATAAGGGTACCCCAGATGATTGGCAGAACTACAGTAATAGGTAAGTTTTCTTTTCATTTGAAACTATGCAAAGTAGCCAGCTTCACCTTATAGCATTAAGTGTTTAAAGCATTTACATAGCATGAACAGGGTACACAATGGTAGAGTTGTTCTTTCATACCATTCTACTAAAGTAAACTTTCTTCCTGAGGTCTTCTTATTTTGTTTATTGATATTTTAATTGGATCTCATCTTCTCTACACCATCAAAATTTTGCTTTATATATTTTTTCTAAGTCTCAATAGTAGGGAAATTGAAAGGGAGTAGAGTAGAAGGTGTGGCTGGCTAATTCATAGAGAAAGTATTATTGGAGGCGAAAGTAAAAATGGGATACACATCGATAATAAAATGGTCTTTTCTAAAGATGTGGAGAAATAACCCAAGTATAAAAAGGCATTCTATATGGCTCCCCATAGAGAAAAGTTGTTCATGAAGGCCACTTAGCGCTTCTTTCCTAGTAGAAGACATCTTTGTTTAGCTCCCTGGCAACACAAGGTTTTGGTAATACACGAATAGAGCAGGAAATGTGATTTGGTAACTACATAGTGCCAAATTTTATCTAAAATTTTGCAGAGTGTCTTTAAGGATGTCCCCACTAATAAGTATGATGTAGGATAAGAAAGGAATACATAAGAGAATCCAAGTTTTCCTAGAGAAATAATTACAATTACAGTGCCTGTGCTTCAGTGGATGGCCATACTCCCATGTCCATATGAGCAGCACTGAATGGCACCAGTGGGTCACAGACATAAAGTTGGGAGGGAGGTATTGTGGCAGGGGGCTGCTGGGAGGAGTTGGAGGTAGCATGAGGGTGGATATGGTTAAAATACATGTTATACATAAGTTGTTCAAAGAATAACAAATATTGTATAAAAATAAATTTACCAAAATTATCAGGTACCCTGTAACTAGATATATTAAGTCTCCCTATGACCAAATACCTAAATGAAACAAGTAGTGGTGAAGAGATTTCTTTGGTGTACAGTTCAGAAGAGGTAATTCATCGGATGGGAAATCATTACGACTAAAATGGAGTAGTTTATGGCTTTGGGAGCTTTCTGGGCAGCTTGCTCACATGATACCCACTCATAGTCAGAAATCTAAGGTCCAAGGGGCCTGGATGATAAACCTCAGGGCCTGACCTCTATAACCTATTTCCTTCACCTAGCCTCTACCTCCAAAAGGTTGTACAACGTCAACAAACAGGACCATCGTCTAGGTATCATATTCAAACCCATGAATTCTTCAGGGATATTTCTCATTAATACCATAATAGTAAATAACTTGTAATTCAGTTTATTGAAATAAACTAAAAAATGAACAATTATACACAATCGTAACATGAAAAATAAAAGACCCAAAGACATTATTGGGGTTCAAGCTTCAAGGTGAAGATCAGAGCAGCAACACAGCCAAGCCAGTAGATGTTACATCTACCAAGCTGAAATGGCAATCCTGTCTCCACAAATCATCAGAGGCAAAAGGCTCTTAATTCCTGTCTCCTCTTCCTTATATTCCTTTATCTGCCAGCCATATCCTTCTGTCTCCACCTTTCTTGGGATTAAAGGCTCTGCTACTTTTTATGCTAGTGTAGGCCAGGGTGGCCTTGAACTCAGAGAGATTCATATGCCTGTCCCCTGAGTCATGGGATTAAAGGTGTGTGCCACCACTGCCTGAAATCTGTATCTTGTGGCTGGCTTTGCTATCTGAATCTTCAGGCAAGCTTTAATAAATCATAAATAATATATCACTACACACAATTTTTACGAGTGTGCCTGCTATAACCTTATATAATATAAAGTATGTATATTTGTTTGTATTTATATAAATACAACCTACTGAGTTGTATTATTTTGTTGTTTGAATACATATAGCTTCAGGGCTGAGAACTTTGTATTGGACAACCCATTATCAAAAGGAGATCATAACAGAAAACCACACCTGAACACAATGCAAAGATCAACGTATTGTGAGGAACTCCTTTCAAAACACCATAGTTAGGAAGACAAACGGGAGACAAATAATATGTTGTAACTGGAGTCTAATATCATAAACTATAATGTAATGGATATTATTAATGAGTTTCTGTCACAACAAAGATACATTTAAGAAAGTTTTAAAAACCAGGTTTTGATAATTCTCAATTAGTAATATTTTTGCCTTAAAAGACTTGAAATTTTGGCTGGGCGTTGGTGGCGCACGCCTTTAATCCAGCACTCGGGGAGGCAGAGGCAGGTGGATCTCTGTGAGTTCGAGGCCAGCCTGGTCTCCAGAGCGAGTGCCAGGACAGGTTCCAAAGCTACATAGAAAAACCCTGTCTGGAAAAACCAAAAATAAAAAACAGACTTGAAATTTTGAAGATGCTTATGAAGCACTTTTGCAAAACGAAAAGAAAAAAATCCTTTCAAAACAAGTTGTTTTAAAAAACAAATGCTGGGTGTTGGTGTCTCACACCTTTAATCCCAGCACTAGGGAGCAGAAGCAGGCTAATCTCTGTGAGTTTGAGACCAGCTAGGTTTACAACAGCTAGTGCCAGGACAGCCTCCAAAGCCACAGAGAAACCCTGTCTCAAAAACCCAAAATAAATAAATAAATAAATAAATAAATATTGTTTAACCTCAGCAGTGTAGAAAAATCCCACCAAACCTGCTGTGGCTTGGCCACACTTGTGTTAAAAATTAAATTAAATTAAATTAAATCTCTACCAGGCTTACTTGAATGGATTTTTTAGAAAACAGCAGTTTCTTGTTATGATATTTACATGCTGGATAAAATGCATTCTTATCATGAAAGGCAGACGTGATTGCCTGTACAAGAACTACACAAGATGGGCCTTTCCGTATTCCACCATGGATAGGGGAGGGGTTCACAAAGCCCCACCCTTCTCTGAAGAGCCATTAGCTATTAATAGCTACTGGAAAAGGAGAAGTCATTGTATTCAGTGCTATAGCCACTGGTAAGTTGCCCATGATCCAGTAAATAAACTCCCACCTGGGTTCATGCAAGTGACCATAATTGAACACAGAGTCTCTCTCTCTCTCTCTCTCTCTCTCTCTCTCTCTCTCTCTCTCTCTCTCTCTCTCTCTCTCTCTCTGTTACACACACACACACACACACACACACACACACACACACACACACACACGCAGAGGGAGAAGACCAAAAAGAAAGAGATGAACTTGGTGGAAAGAAGACGTTCAGCAAGAGTGGGAGGAGGATGAAGAGAAGAGAATGGAGAAATGCATATGTTCAAAATATCTTAAACACTTGCATGAAATTATCAACGAATAAGTACTGAATAGAAAAAGGATTTACTTGGCTGTTTCCAAAGTCTTAATCCTATCACCTGTCATTGACAATAATTCATCCTGTGGGGTTAGGAAGGTTGAAGTTGACTTGGGAAGAGTTAGGTTGAGAAGGAGTATGAATATAATTGAAGCACACTGTCTGATATTCTCAAATAATTAATAAATATTATATTTACATGATATTAATTAATTGTACTTCATAAATATGATCGTGCTTCAAATTATATTGGCTTATTTAAGAAGAAAAGAGTAAGTAGGTGACAGCCCAATTTTACATGGAGTAATAGTTTTCCAGTATTGTCCTTTTAACTGCAGTTGATCATTCTGATTAGTAAATGCCTTTGCTTTAAAAGGTTTCCCATGAATACTATCTTTCTAATTATATCAAGAATCACATAACAGCACGGATCCAAGTGGTTTTCCTTCCTTCAAAAAGTTAAACACTGAAATTTAAGTAGTAGAGGAACCAAAATTGTGATTTACTGTTTGTGTACTTGACAACCTATGCCTTTAATCCCTTTTAACTAGAATATTCAATCCAGGCTTTTTGGAATATACTAAATAACATGAATGAACTCTCATATTTGTGGAAACTTAGTTTCTGATTATATAATGGGGATTGATATCTGTATATGTTTTTATACAATAGAAAGAAAAATAGCTTATAAAACTATTTTCAATTAAGGTAAGGAATTTCAAGCAAAAATCAAATGATTTTTTCAATGGTTTATTTTTTATTTTTTTATTACTTTTGGTTTTTTCCAGACATGGCTTCTCTGTGTAGCCCTAGCAGTCCTGGAATAAGCTTTGTAGACCAGGCTGGTCTTGAACTCACAGAGACCTACCGGCCTCTGCCTTCCCAGTGCTAGGATTAAAGGCATGAGCTACCACTCAGCTGATTTCTTC